GTCCACATGTTGCTGTCAGTTTACAGACAGAAATCAGAGATTACAGTGCTCTTAGTACTCTTGCCTTTTAAAGGTAGATGTGTGCAGAGATTAAGGTTCTAGAAGTTACTAAATAATATTTCCCTTTGTTGCCTACTAAGCTTGAAGTCACTTTAAAGAGGAACATCAAAAGTAATCTCATAAGAAACTATTTTCAAGTCGAAAGACTATCAAGCAGTCATTTAAGGAGAGTTCCTACTTTAGTATACCATATATGGTATACACTTAAAAGGCCAGGTGAAACAGTTGTAAATTAAAAGGACAGCTTTCTGACTATTTGTCACAGCATCACTGAAGTACTTTAACAGGGAGAAGGATAGACCAGCAGGTAGGCTGCTTGCCTTGCATGTAGTCATCCAGTACCCCACACAGTACCCTGAATACTGTCATAAATGATTCCTGAGCACTTCTGGGTGTGTGGCCCCAAACCAACAAACAATAGTAGCACTGTCCTCCCGTTGTTCATCAATTTGCTCAAGCGGGCACCAGTAACGTCTCCTTTGTGAGACTTCTTGTTACTGTTTTTGACATATCGAATACGCCATGGGGAGCTTGCCAGGCTCTGCCGTGTGGGCAGTATACTCTCAGTACCTTGGCAGGCTCTCAGAGAGGGACGGAGGAAGGGAACCCAGGTCAGCCGTGTGCAAGGCAAACGCCCTAGCTGCTGTGCTATCACTCCAGCCCAAACAATAGTAACCAAAAAAAACCCACTACTTTAACAGTTTGCTTAAATGAGTGGAGAAAGAAAAAGATTGTTGGACCTGGAGCCACAACAGCCACTACTCCTACAGCTGTAGGAGTGCAATTCAGTTCCCGGCACTTCCGCAGGGCCAGATGATGCTGGATGTGACTCATCTCAAGGCCAGCTCAGCTAAGAGTGCTTGCTGACTAGAGGAGACTGAGAATGGAAAAAGAAATCTTGAGAGCACACTTTCTTTTTTCCATGAATGAAGAACCAGTGAACCTCAAATAGGAGAAGAAAAAGGCACTCTTTCTGGGAGGTGGGGCCTGGGGGCTCAGAGTCAAAGCAAACCCAGTGTTTCAAATGCTTTGACATTTATAAAAAGTGCTTTAGGGTATTTTTCACTACGGCAAGGTGGAAGTTCTTGGGAAGGGGTGGTGATGGCAGGAAGTGATTGTTTTGGGGGTAAAAAAAGGTATTTATTTAGAGCAAAAGTAAAGTGATAGGCAGAATGGAGAAGTAGCTTAAGGTTGGCCAATCTGATGTTAGGCAACCATGGCTTTATGGATTTTTATCGTAAGGGTCAGGAAGAGACAAGTAAATATAAGTATTCTAGGTAGCCAGGCAATGTTGGTTTGGCTACTAGAAGGCTTGCTATGGATTGCCTTGTCCCATTAAGAGTCATCCTTTCTCTCTCTCTCTCTCTCTCTCTCTCTCTCTCTCTCTCTCTCTCTCTCTCTCTCCCCCTCTCTCTCTCCCTCTCTATTCTTTTCAAATACAGAGAGGGAGGCAATGTGAATCACAAAACATCAAAAGATTCCCCTTAGATGCTCAAAAGATCCGTGAATATTTTATCTAAGGTATGATATAGTCCAGACTCAACATTCCTCTTTGAAAGCTGCAGATTAGATAATAATAGATCAGCCCTAAGGGATATATTCAATTAATATATTGCACTGGAAGGAAGGGGAGGTTGGAAGCAGTTATATACAGCAATGATACGACACCTTACTTGTAGTCTATCCTTTTTTCTCCTCACTTCATATATTCATTGATCATAACTTTTCCTCTCCCTCCTGCTACATTTTTTCTTCATGAATTTTAATGATCCCTCCCGCACCTTTTATTTCCTTTTCCCTTTCTTCATCCCCCTCCTAGCTCAGTAGCAAACTATGGAATATAGGCAGAATTAGAATCTTCCTGGGTCTTTGAGCATTAAGTATGCTCAAAAGAGGCAGGAAGAGAAGGGTGAGAGTTACCAGGCATGCAGGCTTAGCAAATGCACAAACAGCACTGCTGCTGGAAACAGGTTCTACTCTTTGGTAATGAAGCGATGATCAGAGGCTGAGAGATGCCTTTCTCAGCCTTCACACAAGCCCAGAATATGTTTGTATCCTTTGGCAATTAGTCTTATAATTGTTGCGTTTTAGAACCAGACTGGACTTTAGAGATCACCTACCCCGATACCCTCGACTTACGAATGAGGAAATAGAGGCCAAGAAAGGTTAAGTGACTTGCCAAGGGTCACGGAATTAATGAGTTGACAGAGTACAGAAATCCAGATCTCCTGATTATCACAGTAGAATCCTGAAAAAACAAGGGTCAGAAAAGTCCAAGGAACTGCATTCTGCAATCAGAAATGAAAGAAGAGATAACTAATCAAGAAAGAAAAGTTCAGGAATGAAGACTGAGTCAATTACAGGAGTAAATTCATCCTTGACCTAAAAAATTTCCAGGCATTTCTTTCAAAAGCAAATAAGCCTGTGACGATTACGAAGAAAGCCAGACTCACGCAAGCCTTGTTGTTTCTGAGATCCTATAGCCATTTATTTTTTTCCTTTTTAATAGTTTTCAGTGTGACATCTTATACACTGAGAGGCTATTCCATTACACTGACCTCTCATTTATGCCTTCCAGTAACCAAAAGCAGCTCGCGCTAATGGAGCAGTACCTTAGTGGGTAGGAGGCGAAGCCTGCATTTGTGTGCAATCAGGTTAAGGCTGGCTCCGACAGGAGAAAAATCCATACATATGTGGCAAAGATCTGAAAAGTGCCTGTATTCCCAACCTGATTATGACTTACATTTTTGCATGGTTTGTCAAAGCAGATCACTGAAATCAAATCAAGATGGAAAATGGGATAAAGTGGTTTTCGTCTCCATTCTTCCATTAATCACCATGAACTACGAAGAAAGAAAACTTTTCCCTCTCTCACCTGAGGCAAGGTGGGATACTCTGCTGGAAGTTATGCCAATTTTGGGTAATTGGTGCTCAAGTTCCAAAGCTCATTTTCTAGTTTTTATTTCCTACATTTGCAACTAGAAGTTCTTCACTGCAAAGCAAGTTTTTCACTTCTACCAACTATCCTATTTGAGCTCTCACTCAATGCAGCAAATGCTAATAGCACTTGTGAGACTCACAAATGTAAAGGGCTATCAAAAAAGATCAAATTTATTCAGCTAAAAGCACAGATGCAGGAATTAGCCTGTCTCTTTTGGTGAACAGCTTATGATAAAGTTTAAATGCAAATTCAATCAGAGAGTTTGGTACGTGTTCGCTTGTCAAAAAGAAGATACTAGGATATCATGTATATAAGCATTTGTTTTGGCATAATTTAAGTTGCCGACAGTATCAGAGCCTATTCTATTAAAAGAGTAAACTTCTGGAGACTAAAATACAAATGCAGACAACTGCAGGTCAAGACTCTAGCTGCCATGTACAAAATTCTCAAACAAAAGGAGCTCTGGGTCAAAATGATTTTGGAGGAAAAGAAAATGAGCTGGCTCTTGTTACACATAAGCATGTTTGTTAGGGGAGCATTTTCAGGTTAATTTTTGCTATTAACGTAAACCACAATTGGGGACCACGTAGCGGGAAGAGGAATGGGGGGGATAGTTATATAAACAATATACAACAAAGAAAGTCTTTCTTTCCAATACCTGAATACATCAGGTTTGTTTTTAAGCACAGGGTTGCAGGTTAAATGCTCTCAGCTATCCAAGAAGTGGCTTATTAGTTTTGTAAGAAAATATTTTCTTATATTTTGACTGAAAAATACCCAGTTTAAGTGAACAAAACCATCCTTGTTAGTGAAACGCAGACCCAAAAAAATGTTGTTTCAAAGGGCCAGCAAAGAAAAGCAAAATTAATTCAAGAGGAAACGCGGCTTTCCTAATAGTAGCTTCTGAATCTGGATCTAATAGTTCTCTCAAAGACTGGCTGGAGTCATCAAGTCTTCAAAAGTTTTGTCTTTCTCCATGGATCACAGACCTCTATGAGCCTGCCTAACATGGATCAAAATCCATTTTAAGCAGATATCTGCTCTCTCTCTCTCTCTCTCTCTCTCTCTCTCTCCCCTCCCTCCCTCTCTTTCTCTCTCTCTCTGCCATTGCTACAAAGCAGAAATGCTGTGCCCCACCAACAGGAATGAAGACAAACAAAAGTTCTGATTATTTTATAGGGCAACTTTCCAAAGACAACCTTCCTCTTTGCTTTTCTATTTTGTGCACTAAAAAAAACCCCGACTTCATCATTGGCAGCGTAGCATCCGCTGGCGGGAAGATAAACAGTTAACAGGCGATTATGCTTTAAGAACCAGAGAGATGGCTCAGCGCTGCATTTCAACATACTGACTCAGCTTCAGCCAGCACCTGAACTATGTACTTGTCTCCTAATTTGTAAATGGACCTAATCTTGTTATTACAGAAAAATTACTGCAAATCAGCATAATTACTAGAAAGACAGGAATAAACAAACACATACCAGTAGCTGTTTTCTACAAATTATCAAAACAAAGAGGAGCAGTGGATTGTGGTAACGTTAAGACAAACATTTACTGCCCCCAGTGTTCGGGCAAGTTTATTTTAAGTTGTCATCTTCAACTAGTAATGATGCCAATGACTTTATGGATTCCACAAACCTTTTGAATCTAAACTTTTCTCGAGTCAAAATTGAACACTTCCCCCAGTGCAACATCTGCAAACCCCTGACTGCATAAGAATCCACGCCCCTCGCCCCGTCTTTGTTTAATGGTGCATTGTCAAAAATTTAAATAAGTAAAATACGTGTCCATGCAGACTTTTACTGAGCCCTGCTACTCTTCCAAGTTACAGTCCAGGTGTTAAGAAAGCAAATGAAATATCCGCTTTGTATTTTTCACAATCTGTCTCTCAATCAGCACCGTGTGGTACTTTTCCATTTCACCTGATGTTATATAATTACATAATTTCCTTTCTAGAGAATCCTATTGGGATGCAGGGTAAAAAACTCAAAGCACTCACCTCCTGGACAGTGCCTCATGGCCATCTTACATCTCCTGGATTCAGCGATTGTTGGGCAGGGTATTGTGTCTTTTGCTGGCTTCTTCACAATTTGCCGTGTTCTGGTTTCCAAACCCCATTTAAATCCACAGGTGCGATTATTTCTGCTGCAAGTTCCCCATTCACTCCAATGACCAACTTCACATCCTTCTGATGAAAGTTAAAAAAAAAAACACCAAGAGATAACAATTTGATATCCCTGTGCCATTCTGTTATCCAGGTTAGCAAGCAATATTTTTGCACGTGTCTACCATCAGAGGCAAAATTTAAATTATGCAGCCCTCAAGGATCTATCTTTGTCTTGGGGAGTTTTAATACTTTTATTGAAACTGCAACATTTATCATTTAAAAACTATTATTCTCACACTGCAGAGTCTGGCAAACGCCCCGTGGCGTATTCATTATGCCAAAAACCAGTAACGATGATGGGTCTCATTCTCCTAATCCTGAAAGAGCCTCAAATGTGGCACTTTCTAAAATCACAGGGCTAAGACGAAGGAGATGTTACTGGGGCCTGCTTGAGGCAATCCATGACCAAAAAGATGACGTGATACAAGTGATATTCTCACACTGAGAGATAGTACAGTGAGTTGGGTGCTTGGCTTGTACATAGCTGACCTGGGTTCAATCCCCAGCAACTCATATAGCACCCTGAGCCTTGCTAGGAGTGAACTGAGCACAAAGCCAGGAGGAAGTGCTCAGCACTGACAGGTTTGCCCCCCCCCAACTAAAATAACAATAACAATAACAAAACACTGGTATTTTCTATTTGTCTTGATTCAGTATTCAAAGGATTTGTCTATTTAAAGCACTGAAATATCAATTCTAAAAAAATTAATTTTTAAAACATGATCTTTCAAAGATTCAACAGTTAAAATCTATAATAGAATACTTTGGTTATACTATGACAGGAGAGAAAATTGTATAGCTTAATTCTCAATGCTCCTATGCCCACTTGTGAAAGACTTACTGATGTGATTTTTTTAAAGTATATGGTGGAAAGGATGGGAGTTTGTTTTGTATTTTATAATTCTCTTGGCTTTTTGGAATTGTTTGGATTCTACAAGAGGTATTTTATTCCCTAACCTGAAGCTATACATCACAATAGTTTGAAAAGTTTAATATATATATATATATATAAATAACCAGATATTTGATTTTATTTTGATTTGATTTTGATTTTATTTTAGTTTAGTTTAGTTTCCAGGCCACACCCGGCTATGCTCAGGGTTTACTGGTGTAAATCCCTGTACTCAGGGATCACTCCTGGCAGTGCTATAGGACCATATGTGGGATCAAACCCATGTCAGAAGTATTTAAAGAAAATGATGCATTATCTCTCTTGCCCTGACCAAATATTTGAAAATGTCTGTTTTCCCTGGCCATGGAAAGCCTTTTAGTTTCTTCTTTTGTCAGTTCATATAGTAGAACAATAGGTCACTCTCCAACTCTCTTGAAGGTGGGTAACAGTGTGGGATTGGAATAAAGATATGCAAAATTCAAACTCAAATTCACCATTACAATGTGACTTCACTAAGGCAGATGAGGACTCAGACACAGATTCCACCTACACTATTTCAATATTACATATTTAGACAGTCATGGTTGCTCAGCCCTTTCAAATCTACTTTAGAATTTTATTCAGAGGAATTCACAGGGCTTTCTTAGTTTGTTTATATCTCAGAGTTTCCTAGTATTTCCTTTGAAAATTCGTAATGGGTGAATCTTGCCTCCCAAAAGCAATTTCATCATCCTGAACATGTTTGTCTAATGCCTTTCTTAATAGGAATACATTAGCTCACATGTAAAAGAATCGTAACTATACCTTTCTTCAAAAGCCTCTCATTTATGGGTGCACTGTACAGCTTTCAAATTTCTATTTTAGAATGATTTTGTGAAGAAAAAGTGATCGATGATCTTGTCTCTATTTTTCAAACTCTAGAAAGTGTCTTAATAGGTATGTTGCACATCATATCAGATATGTAATGTCTAATCAAATCCAGAGGTGTCAGGAGAGTGTGTAGAGGATGCAGATACTAATACACATATCATGCAGGAACTGTTCATTCAAGCATTATATCCAAAGGGAGGCAGATCTTACCTTTTAATAGCTAACAAACTTATCTAAAAGTTTTCAAACACTCAAAAAGTATAAAATGTATAAAGTATATATCCTAATTGTTATTTGCAGTATATTATATTTTAAATTATACATTTTAGATATAGAACATACTAACATTTTCCTAATGCATACATTTAATCAACAGTACATTTACTTCCAACTTATTTTTATTAATACACAGAAGAAAAATGATAGCTATGTTACTGATTGAAAATTGTTTTTCTTCTGAAAGTGTCTCTAACCATCAATTTATTAAGATAATTAAGAAATAAATTATGATACAATGAGAAAAACAATGCTATTAGCACTTAAATTGATTAACCTAGCAAATGCACAACTGACAAATTTGGCAGAACGATGGAAAAGATGAGACTCCCCAATATTCAGATTTCTATAAAATTAAGAAAGTTGGTGAAGAACTTAATTTTTAAATCTAATCAAAAACAAGGGAACCAGATTGCTTTTAGTTTGAATATAGCTAGCATGCATTGTTTTTCAAGACACAGGTGTTAAAATAAAAGTTGAAGTTTGAAAGTTACATGAAAAATGACTCACCCACACATTCCATGGTTTCATCTAATGGTGCAAAACCATCTGGACATTCATCAAAGCAACGACCTCTGTGCAAATAGAAGCCTACTTTGCACTTGGTACAGAAGTCTTTGCTAAAGCAAGAATCACAGTTTTCTATCCTGCATCCTAAAAACAATTTTAAAGAGAAAAAGAAAAATTCAGTCAAGGAAATTTACTTGTTAAACACAAGCTCATAAACTTACCAGTTAGCTCAATCGAAATTCTACTGGTCAGAAAGATATGTGTGCAACTCATTTCCATTCTAATATTCCTACTGTGATCTCACCCTAAATCATTCCTACTGATTCCTAAATCAGTCCTACATTGACTGAAGCAAAACTCAAGTGTGGGGCCCTAGGCAGCGTGAGACCCTTCAGCAATTCTTGCAATTCCAAGTGGGATAAAAACAAAGGATTAAAAAGAGAAAAAAAAAGAAAACAACCCCCAGTACAAAGTACATTGCTGCTGGGGTTGAAATCTATTCTGCCCTTCAAAAGACTCAGAATGAAAAGCACAATGGGAAGACTCTAATCAGTATCTTCTGTTTCAGGACAGTAAATTAAAATTCTTTTAAATTTAATTTTAATCCAATTAAAATTTTAATTTGCTTGAAAAAAATTTAATTCAATTTACTGGCATCCCTAATGCTGGCATCTACTTTCATCAGAGGATGTCTTAACTTGGAGGGGGTCATTTGAGGGTGAGGAGAATCTGCACTATGACATAGGCTTTACTAGCAGTTTTATTGAGTCTTTCCAATAACCCACAATGTGGACAGTAATGCCCTGAGTTTGCCAATAAGGAACCTGTGATTTACAGAGATTAAGTCTCCTTGCTAGTGCTGTTAGTATTGATTCTGAAAACCTCCCAAACTGAATGCCTTCAAAATCTGTTCTCTTTTCTTTCTAAAACACTGCCTCAACTTCTCATAACTTTGTTTGTCAAACAGAAGTGTTTCCAGATCGACTATGTCCTGGTTTGAATCCCAGCTCAGTCTGTCCAATTTTGGGAATAGCTCTCTGACCTTTTCTTTTATCCTGTATCCAAAAGGAAAATCACTAACCTTACAAAGTTACTGTGAAGATTTAGAATATATGTAAATGGTTGGGCTCATGCAAATAGTCAGCATAGAAGCAATAGTAGATCAGAAATATTTTCCCCTAACTCAGATGCATTATCACAAGTATGAAAGGGTAACCTAGGAGCTGGGGAAATAAATTGGGGTCCCTAAGATTGAACTGTCTGTTCCACTTATCAAGTCTGAGTGTGGCCCCTGAGTACTGTTTGAGACATTCCCATTGCAAAAAAGCAATGCTTGATAGGCTCTATGCTGGGTCAGATCCCATAAGCTTTGGGCTAGAGATAACTGCCTTGCACCAGGGAAAATATATAATAAATTCCTTTTGAAGGAGCAGAAAGGAGAGAAGTCTGGGAGATTTGGTCAGTTTTTCAAGATACTGTAGCATATTACTTGTTGTAGAGTTCATTGATGGCACTTAATATTGATGACAATTAGCTCACTGCTAGCAATTAACAAGCTCTGTGCAATTTACATGCCACCTCCTATATCCATTTAACAAGTCTCAGAGATCCTGTATAGTATTTGGTGTGTTCATAATGCAGGAAAGCATTTGGGGAGGGGGGCTAGAAACTGAATCATTAAGCCAAATGTCCTCTCCCCACCCCCGATACACACACATATACCCCTCCATCCCACCCCCACACACAGACACCACGACTTTGAAGCAGTGCTTGGAAGCACCCCTTCTAAAAAAAAAAAAATAGAAAATGCATCCAAAATGTGAAACCACTCAATATGAAAATTGAGATATAAAGTCAGGAAGTAGTATATCAAAATATTTTAATAGATTACATACATAATAAATAATAATAGCTCCTATAGAACTATAAAGAAGAAAATGTTAACTATTTTCCTTTCAAGGTTGAGTTCAAATAATTTTATGTATATTAAATAACCATCCTAAAACAGCTAATCAACTTCTAAAATGTTATCAAATCTACAATTGGAAAATCAACTATGTGTTAATAAGAATCCACAGTCAAAAAAAACAATTGATCTTTTGAGGAAAAGGGGAATCACAGGCGGAACAGCTTATCACCCCACAAAGAGATTGTTGGTACTTATAACCTATATTTTAATGAAATGGTGGTAATATCTGGTCAGTAGTTTCTTAAACATGGTCAAAATACATGATTAAGAGTACATGTACACAAATTGTAGGTTTTCTTACTACGTTTTTTAAAAAGCTAGCAACCTTTACTGTTAGCAGAATTATTTTTCAAGAATTGATGATGAACATTCCAAATGATAAAAAAGAACTAAAAAAGTGAAGAGAACAAAGCATTTATATATACATATATATATATTTAAAAGAATATTATCCACTTCATAAATCAGCTGTTATCTACAAGGTCTGATTTTTCTTAAAACAAATCTCGCACCAATAAGCTTTTTGGTCAAAAGTTAAAGCAGCAAGCATTTGGAAATCATTTTAGAAGGTCTTTTGCTGATTATTTTTTTCTAACTCTATCTCCCATTCCTCATTTCATTCCATGTTCCAATTACTCGTTCATAGAATGTGGAATTTCTGAAATACTTATCATTCTCTATAAAGTCTCTTAAGATTTCTTCAGGCATAAGTCTGACTACGAAAAAAATCATTTGCTCTCAAATGGAAGAGGAATAAAAGTATGATGCATTCAAATCATGGAGTGCCACAGCCATACAAAAACACAATGTGAAGCAAAAGCAATAGCCAAAAATAAGCTCTAAGATTTATTAAGTGAAAAAAACAATTTCAGGATACACAGGACATGATGCAACAAAAGTGTATGCACACAGGAAGTAGTTTTGGAAAGTTAATTTGGGAAGGAAGTAATGAAATTCTAAATTGCATATATATGTGTGTGTATATATGTTTATATATGTGTGTATATGTGTATATATATGTATATATATGTATATATATATTGGATATTCACCCTTAGTGTTTTAAGCTTCATCTGTGAATTGCCCCTTTTCCTCACTCCAGAGAAGCAGAAAAGAACTTACAGGGCTCTTCTAAGCACCCCTAATCCCCCAAGTTTATCTTTAACCTTTATCTTTTGTGTTTTACCTCTCATTGTCACAATTCCCCAAGTAAGTGTTGGTTACTTATAAGTCAAACTTTCTAGTAACTCAGGAACTCTGGACTTTATATTTGTAGTGAATTACTTGTTTTGCTATTTCCTCTATAACTCTTTCATATTTTACTCTAGAGCAACGTTCTTTGCTTAAACATAGAAAGACCATTAATGCTATGCTCCTAATATTTGGAAGTTAAATGACTCTGAAATTAAATATATCTAGTCCTAGGCATTCATCATAATTACTTGACTCGGGATTTGGTTTCTAAAGTTTCTAACACCACAAAAAAGGAGGGTCCTTACCGTGGGACTGGATGGACCTGGGGCAAGTGGCAATGCTACCCTGGCATCAAAATGGGACAGTCTAGAAAGCATAAAGCACAGTGTTGATGCAAGCCATTATCACTTAAGAAACAGGATCCCAAGAAGGAAAAGCTGAACCTGCCTGAGAAACTTAGTCTGGGATTTACGGTAAAAGACTTGCTTGCCCTCAGAGCGCAGAGAACTAAGTTTTGGAGCCTATATCTCATATTGTGTTAATCCAAATAACTGCAAGTAGTAATAAAAGGTAAACTTGATTGTTAAATATGTACAACTAAAGAGAAAAAGAAAAGCAATACAGATGTCCCTGGGAGACAGTGTCACCTTGAGTTAATCCCCGAAGAGAATTGTCTCTGCTGAAATTCTTTTTATTCCCCCTTTGGGTCATACCTGGAAATGCACAGGGGGTTATTCCTGGCTCATACACTCAGGAATTACTCCTGACAGTGCTCAGGGAACCAGATGGGATGCTGGGAATCGAACCTGGGTCAGCCGCATGCAAGGCAAATGCCCTACCTGCTGTGCTATTGCTCAAGCTTCCTGTGGCAATTCTTTACCTCTGTAAATGATCAACCACACCTACATGAAGTTCTATACCTGGAACCCCCATACATGTTCTATAAGTATTCTAACAGCTCTGCATTAAATGAGCCATTTTGCCCATCAGTCTATGGTCCCCCATCTCTTTGTTCCTCTTCTGGGCAGACCTGGGGAGGTTGCTCTCAGTCACTGAATCACATTGCAACCCTACATCCTGAACTCTCTCTCTCTCTATGTATGTGTGTGTGTGTGTGCATGTGTGTATGTATATATACACACGTATATATGATATATTAATCAAATGAATTTTTATACTCATAATGTGTTTGCATATTTAAACTAAAACAGGGTCAGAGAGATTGTATAGAGTATATAAAGATCAAAGTAGGTGCCTTGCATATGACTGGCCCTGGTTCAATCTATGGCACCTCAGGATCCCCTGATTATTACTTGGTAGAGTGGTGGAGTCAGGAGTAATCCCAAGTACCACTGGGATATGCCAGATAATTTCTGACATCACAGGACAAATCCTGACACAAGAGGCTTTGCATCCTGGATCCTTGAACTTATCCTCTGTCCTGATGGGCTGCTATCATTTGGAATGTCCTCAGGTCTCCTGAGCACTGCTTGGAAGCACCACCACCCAAACCCAAAATCAATAAAACAGAAAACGCCATTTCCATCTACATTTTTCACCTCTTGAATTTATAGGAAACTGCAATAATATTAATGTTATAAATTAAACCCTTTGGGTTAAGCGTCAAGAATAAATAAAGAGATTCAGCCGAAGAGAAGAACAACATGGAGGGCGGGATCCACAGATCCCGAAGGAAAAAAAAAAAACACAGTTTCCAAAAAGAGCCGAGATCATCGGGAAGTCCGAGATGGGGTAGGTACCGCATCCGCCTCCCCCAGATGGAACCCCGGTGACCAGAAACCTCTACAAGCACAGCTCGAGTACGCAGGACCTAGGACTTTTCCTCAAAACCGCGCGGCCGCTTATGCGGCCGCGCGACATCTCTCTATATACAAGGTGATCCATGGGAAGTAAACCACCTAACGTTTCTCTCTGAAAATCATAGTTAAGCTTTGAGCATGGCCACAGCCCCAGAAACACA